ATTAAATTGTATGAGAAGAACATAGAATACTTCTTATTGGAATTGTGTCCATGTAGGTACATTCCAAGCCATTGTTCTACTAAGTTCCTAAGTTATTTGTGTCATACTTCATTCCTTAAACCTAGCCTTTCTTCAGGTTGATTACTTAATAACACTTAAGCTTTGCAATGGTCGTTTGTTGATAGTGAAATCTAAGTTCAATTTGTAGCACGATGCGAATTATACCCAATCACGATAAAGTTTCACGACAAAAGTTCTAGCTAATATAAGCAAGGCTGCGTCATAAAATTATACGGCGTAACATTAAGTAAAAGGTGTGAATGGTTGCTGAGATTTTAACGTATGATTCATACAAAGATCAGTGACCCAAAAGATTTTAAATCAGCAAACCCACGCTTATTAGAGTATCTATCACTTTTTTTATATAAGAGGTCAAATTACAATAATTTTGTGGTCAACATTATACTGTTTGTTCGTGTTTGTTTAGTGCCTGATATAATGATCATTACTGGCTCAAATGTAAACAAAAACATTCTTAGTATTTCTATAAAAATAAATATATAGTTTTTTGTCTGCACTTGAACAGATTTTGCCCACTGTGTTCTAGCATATCCGTGGTTGACGTTGAACTAGAGGCAAATAACAATTTGTTGTGTTCAATAATGACACAAGCCGGAATGATAACCATTATGTCGTGGGCGGGATCGAACCCGCTACCCGGTGCACGGCGGTCATTACCGGGCACTATGATTTGTGTCCATGTACGGCTCAAGGTGGGATGGTATTAGCTGTATTAAAACTTTTTATATCAGTCTTTAGAACTAAGGCGATGTTTTAGAATCATATTAATGAAACACTTCTGCAATTAAACCTATGTGTTTCAGTGTGGTAACAATTAATATGCACCATCAATTAAATTTCAACTTTAACAGCGAAACGAAATGGTTGTTTTTTATTTACACAGACTTTTTCGCGAGACATAAATCTTTGAAGTATAAGTGAATCTATCAAAATACAGTTCGTGATCATTTTAATTAATAAAAACCTATTGCTACCATAGAAAAAAGAACATTTTAAAAACCGTTCCAACACGTATCATTACCGATACAACAAAAAATCTTGACTAACAATTAATAGGAATTCACATAATTATAGAAAAAAGGTTTTATGTAAAATAAAAAAGGTTATAATTAAAAGCCAATCAAAATTGCAAAGAAAACGTATCAATCATCAGTAGTCGGGTAAAAATGTATAATTTTTATACGACATTTAAGTCCCATCGTAATCGACCCATACATTTTAATAGGCATATCATAAAAGATAAGATCAAAACACAACACAAATTGCACTTTAAACCTCTTACTGTAAAGTACATTTTAATTTGACCGTGCTAAATGGTTAACTGTCATTTTTATAATTTTTGCAAAATGTCTCTCGTATCGATCTGATATTTATTGCTAAAATATAATAACCCTTTTTTTAAACAAAATCCTTACTAATATTAATGTGATAGTGAGTTTGTTTGTTTTCATTTCACGTTTCAATGAAGCGAACTTATTGATATGATTTTGGTGTGCGAAGATAGTTAGGAGGCTATTAAGTATAGTAAAATATATTTCGAAAATGTACTGTACCTATTTTTATATAAACTAAAACAAACATTTTCTTTGAATCAAGTAAAATTTTTATATAACATTTACTATTTCGTTTGATATTATGTAACAACTTTTACATACTTATTTTTATTAGTCAAGTGTTAAATTTAATTAATTAATAAATTTTAGAACATGCTATAATAATGTTACAAATAATATTTTTTCCAATACGTCCTGATGTTTGCACACTGTGCGTCATAATCTTGAAACGGCAAACGGCCATAAATTAACGCACCTGCCGTTATTTAATTCGCTTGCAAATAATATTTATTGATTAAACAAATAAAACTGATTATAAACATTAATTAAAAACATAAAAAAATATTTGTTAAACTTTACAATTTACTTTTGAAAAACGATTTGTCGATTATTAAATATTTTTTTGTAATGTCTTTTTTGAAAGAGTTCGACATTAAAAATATATAACAAAGCTTTTGTTTTAACATAACATAACATAACATCACGCCTTTTATCCTCGAAGGGGTAGGCAGAGGTGCACATTATACCATTGTACAATGTAACACCCACTTTTCACTATTTATGTTATGAGTCCCATGTAATAGGGGGTGAGCCTATTGCCATATACCGGGCACAGTTCCAGACTCCGTGCTACTACTGAGATTTTTTATTTTTTTTTAAATCCCAGTAATACTTTGCCCGACCCGGGAATCGAACCCGAGATCCCTTACCCGGCAGTCGCAATTGCGACAACGCGGCCAACGAGGCAGCTTTTGTTTTATAACAGAAATGTATTAAAAAAAGTTGCTTATCAAAACGAATTTTACAAATAGACTTTATTATAGACATAGAAAAGACCAAAAATATTATTGTAACTCCAAAAAAATAAATAAATTAATGGTCTTTTATAATTGGCTATCAATTCTTAAACCAATTAGCTAGGGTATAAAAATTTGCATAAAAAATTGTGTGTTGCGTTTTATAAAAAAATAAGGAAAACAGTAGAATCGGTTACTGTTTAATAGGACGTATAATTAAACTATTACGTAAAACTAATTATAGCCAAATAGAGAATCACAAAGAATTTGACTCATTCACTAGTTTTATTTTCATCTACCATTTCGAAGTAAAAGCACTTATTTCATTTAATCCGGTACTTTTGAAACGTCAAAATTGAATTGTCCGTCAGTCTGTCTCTCAGTGAAGCTAGGTACCCGTTCCGAAGTGCAGTTTAGAAACGACTTCTGTCAAACACCAAGCGGTCACCGGTGACCGCAACCTATTGTTCTTTAATTGTGTCTATAAATACGGTACTCGACAAGTTAACCATGCCTATGTTATGTCGTCCCTCTAATTGTATCCTCATATACCTATAGCTGTAATTTCTATATATATGACCCTCAAGAACGCTTCATCAATAGATTATGTACATCTCTGCCTATCCCTTCAGAGATTATAAGCCCTGGCATTGTTTTATAATTAAAAAATTTAATCTACGTCCAAACAAACATTCACAGCTATTGCAAAATTCAATCATTCAAACATGTCCGATTCCACCAAGAGAATTGACTTAGCAAGCAACTTAAGCAACATTTTAATCAACGTTAGAGTCTTTTAAATCATTAATACGATCATTAAAATCGATAATCGGTATTAATTCCTATTGTCTGCCTAGGTCAATTGAAGCCAAGTACTAATTAGACCCAACAATATTATTAGGCATTACGTTTAAACCTAAATGTATTGTCTAAGCATTATTTTGTTCTCTTTAAGTTAATTTGCACTAAAATAACTATAGCTGTATTGTGTTTAATTTTATTAGTTTCTAAGTCTTCGGATCTTTGTTTTGTTAGATTTTACACCTTTGTTTCTTATGATGATTATGTTTCGAAATTAATTTTCATTTACGTACTCTGTAACTTAAATCTTCTGTGGGACATACTAAAATAATTATTATGTTTTCGGCGTACTCACGAAACTGTTTGATGAGTGTCGACTGTCGCACTGCTACTCAGCAGTCTAGTCTTATCAGCGCGACAGTCGACGCGTCACAGGTCGCGGAATGCTGCTCATGAATATGAGCTTCTAGCATGGCTTGAAACTAGTCGGGCTCCTCGTCAAACAATAACGTGAATAAGCCGAAAACATAATAATTACTCTATATCTGTTGTAACATCTTACTTTTTATCAAAAAACACTGGCGTTATCGCTTCCTTCATGCACGTAAGAGCCTCTAACTTTAACGTCATACTTAATAATTAGTAATATTATCTCCAAATGTCTGCCTCGTTGGCCAAGTGGTCACAAGTGCCACTGCTATTTTTTAAATTTTCAGCAGTAGCACGGAGTCTGGAACTGCTCGATATATGACAATACGCTCACCCCCTATTACACGGGACTCATAACATAAATAGTGAAAAGTGGGTGTTACAGTGGCATTAAGCACCATAATGTGTACCCTGCCTTTATGTGCTTCAAACAATTTTCTCAAACAGTAGGCCGTTCTAAACCAAACAAGAATCAACAAAAGAATAATGAGAAAATTTAATTTTAATTACAAATCTAAGTCGGAAGCAAATTAGTAAAGTTTTGGAAATGTTATGTCATGTAAATTTAATTAGTACATAGTCATGATTTAATTATTATTGTTGGCAACTCACATATATACTGTGTTGCTAGATGTAAAAAATCGGGCCGCTTCGGTGTGCATGATAGTATCGCATTTCCGGGCAACACGGGGTTTAAATGTCGAAAAAAAGCGTTCTTAAGTATGGCCACAGATTATAAAGGAGATCGGACAGATTATTTAACCTACTAGGCTGAAAGATAAGCTAGCATTGAAATGTATGTGAAGTTAGATTGGTATCAAATTTAAAACTATGTATTTACAAAGCGCCTAGCTTTAGTGACAGACAGACGCACAGAAGATTCAATTTTTGACGTTTCAAAACTGCTTTATTAAGGATTAATTCAAATATTTGTCTTGACTTCGACAACATTGTTATAGGTAACATGCATGTTACGTTTAATTGAACATGTAAATCATTATTAAGACAATGTTACATGACATAAAAGTCTTTCCTTACTATATTTTACATCAGCTCCATGAAACACGTTCACAATTATCTGCACCATAGTCCTCCGTACAATCTCCTACAAAGTCTGGAGCTATCGAGTTATTATAATTTATAGTCCGTAAATTGTCGACTCTATATTCTTAATCTAGGGTGCGTGCGCGCGCGCAGCCAAGCGAGCGAGCATTTTATTAGCCACGTACAAGCATTACGACCCGACTGCGCCTGCCATTAATCCAGTACCCAACAACCTCATTTTACATTCATTATGATTGTGAAAATTTTCTAATAAATATGTTTCCTTCTTCCACAGATACGCCAAGAGAAACCTTACTACATAGCGGACCCTGAGGTCGACTCATTAGTAAGTATTGTCCACATTTATTACTCATACATACCTCAAAACAAATAAAACGTGGGATAACTTTAATACCCCATAAAATAGGAACATTTCAGCGTAATTTATGATTTGATTAGCTAAAGAGCTGTCCAAAATTAAGCACAGGTAAACGAGAAATATTTCTGAGAACAACAAAATAGGGAAATAAGATTAAAAAATATATTATATTGTCACTCATAAAAAGCTGAATCGCACCGTGTGCCTCCCGCGGCTAGCTGGGACAAAAAGTGAAATAATAAAAGTAAGATGGCGGCCACCCACGGCCGCGGTTCGACACGGGTACTTAACCGATTTTTAACAAATAAAATCTAAGGCATTACGAATCGCGCCGGTCGGAGGCGACGTTCATGTTATTTGACTTTGTTACCGAAAATTCGTTTTATCAACTGTCAACGTTACGCACGTACCTAGGTTGGTACAGATTGATTTGTTTGTCTAACGCATCGTGACTCATAAATTTGAGAAATTAAAAGCTGGTTGGAAACAGTAGTGTGGGGGTTATAAACTAAGCTGTCAGTGTTACCTGTGGAGCGATGATAAGCGTCATTCATCCACACGGAGGAGTTTTAACCAGGTTCGAGATAAGATGGCCAAACACGAGGCGACATCCGGGCGTAGAGCAAACTTCACTCGACGAAATAGGTGAATTATCGTGTTGTGTTTTTGTCCTGAAGCTGACATGTGGTGCCACTGGCTGACGCATCTGTTTGCCTAGTTGCACAGTTTATTTTTGAGGGGCCAGTTGTTTTTAGCTTTATCTTTGTACTTGGTTTCTTCAAAAACGAGAATTTTGAAGCGAATTTTAGTGAAACACTGTTTTTAAAGCGTCCGTTTGAACTTGTGTATAACTGAGTTTTTAGTTAAAAAACCGCAAAACGACAAAAGTCATAACAAACGCAAACTGCACAGTGGGCAATAGTTGTTGACTACTTACTGCATAATTAGTTCAAGTACGAACAGCTTAAGTATCTCGTAATATATTTTTTCCACAAAAAGTTTGCGGTTAGCCCTCTGTGCTAACTGACAATGGACACTCAACAAAATTACTTCTTTAGGGTTATTATTGACTTTTTGAAATAATTGACGTGGAGTACATTTATATGGTAATAATTACGAAGTTCTTTGTTGGGACCTCCTGAGAACCACATGACACGTCCGACTCAATGAAGTCGCCTATTTAAAAATTTTTAAAATATAATTACATCAAATGCCGCGAAGAATGTTTGTATGTTTGTAGTTTGAAGAGCCTTTGGTAGCTATGTACTACATAGTTTTGTGACTTAAATAAATAAAGTCAAGATTGTCTGTCTTACATAAACCTTCCTAAAAGCTCAGAACAAAAACACAATATTTAAAAACACTCATTTTTTCCTATCTCAGACCCCCAGTAACAAAATATCATATTTCAGAAGACTAATAATTAATTTTGTAAATAAATACTCTCCAAAACGTCACCCTAACACAAGCAAACCCGCGTCCCAAGTATGTAGTTAATAAACTAAAGACATTCACCGAGCGTACAGCCTCAGGTGGTGCTCTTTATCCACAACTGTCGTTAATACAATGCAGAGTGCACTATTGTATGTAATTGGCAACCATTTGCTGCCTGTCCCTCGCACCATGGCGTATTTATGGAATATCCCAGAGTCGGCCAAGGTCCTAACCTTAAAGTAGAGCTTTCAATAAAACCTCTTTTCAAATTAAAACGAAAAAGTTAAAAACACTGGCAGCCTATAAACTTTTGGTAAAGTTCGAATTTCAAAAAAGTAAATTCAAATATTCGAAAAAAAAGATGAACACGTGGGCTTACGTTTGTCAGTGTAGTGATGTACACACATAACTACGCGCCATATCGAAACAAAGTAGAGTCAACTAAAAACTAAAGTTGACTAAAACCAACAGAGAATCGACTGTTTTATTGACCCATTTGGTTAGAGAGGCGATTGGTTACGACCCGTGGAGGTTGTTTGCCCACGTCACATCTGTGTTTGGTCTGTCACAGCCTTTTGAGGCTTTAAGCTTCCTCAAACATAGTTGAACTGCAGTAGCGTCGGTAAACAGAACCGAATAGTTTTGTATTTTACGACTCATTAGTAAACGATATCGTGTTAACACTCACTGGTATGACGTCGCTCTAATCCCTTGAATTTTTTATATATAGAAACGCGGCCTTAACGTTTTTATTGCTTATTATTATTAACAATAAACTTATAAAATGGGGTTAATTGTGTAATTTCTTTTTATTAATTGAGTTGTTGATAGTTTCAGTTTTTCTCGTTAAATGAGTTTTTAGTGCAACTTTTAGGAATATGAGCGTTATAACTTAATTAAGTGTTAAGTTCGTTTTAACACTAAAAATATAATAAAAAGTCAAATGCAACATAAAGTTATGTTTAGTGTTAAACAGCTGTTAATTATTTTTATCGACATATTTAATAGATTATTTTCGCACTTCTAGCTATTTCAATAAGTATAAAAAATTCAAACATACTGCCTACCAATAAGAAAATGAGTTTAAAATTTTAAAATCCGATTCCCTTAACCGAAATGTGGGTTTCCAAGCAAAAGGGATTACATTGGTACACTCAGAGTCTCCCCTTTCCAAACAAACTCGTCTCAGTGGCAAGACAGAAACAAGTCAAACACATTTTTATCTGTTGGTGTCGCCTGTGTCAACGGAACGTCTGAACAAACAGCCAAGGGTGGCGCTTTGGACTGTTTAATTGATATTGCAGCCACGAGCGTCACAGATGTTCCCACTACTTGTGGGATCACTTTTAACTACACAGCGACGGATTTAAAACAAAATAACCCATAAAAATCAGCCATAAATTAGCACAAAATGTAACACAAATTACAAAATACCTTCTCATAGTTATAAAACCATTCATTTCACTATTAATCTAATCGTAAGTGAGCAGTAATCATTAGATTAATGTTATACAAAAATAGTTTTTACAACTATTACCAATTTTCCACACATGATAGTCTCATCTCGACCGGAAATACAACAATTTCATCCGTAATAACATGTAATAGTAGCTCAGTATCAACTTAATATACAGCCATGTTGTTCAATGCACAAAATTAAAACTCGAAGTCGGTGTAAAATCATCAATCAAAAACGAAATAAGCCAAGATCGCTTTTAGAATGCAGCTAGCGTCCTCAAGTGGCAATCAGAAACAAATCAAGACGCTATTAAAACGGCATTAACTGCTTTTTTAGATAGATATCGATTTGAAAAAAGTTACCGATTAGATCTCCAAACACTATCAAACAATAGTCGATAGGATCTTAGTACGAATGGCATTCGTATTGAGGCCCGTGATCATGTTCTTTTATTATTATATGTGTGTATTATGTAAATTCAAGGGAATACGTTAACTTTGAACTTTTGAAATTGATCGAGAGATTACGTAGTTATGAAATGAAATATGTGTGTAGAAATAATAGCAAGATTAATTTTAAGATAAATTATTTGCAAGCTGTGTTATAATATCATAACTATCGATAACTAACGCAAATATGATCACTTCACTACACAGCGAGAGCCCGCCATACATTGTCTGTCCATTGTTGCTCCGTTCGCTTTGTGAGATGTCCGATAGACAATATTATGTGTATCATGTTTCAACCTAAAGGTACAGGTATAAACAGAAATATTCGGCCCCAACTATACAACCAGCAATTTCGATATTATTAATATACATAAATAAACAAAATATCCTAAGATTGCAGAGTTTTTGCCAGATTATTATCATCAACATATTCTAAAATTATTACTAGAAGCCACATTTTCATTCAGAGGACGAAACAAAGTCGTTTTTCGAATTGGTGACATCACTAATTATCACAAAAAAAGTACAGTAACATGTGACATTTAATATTGAGGATACAATTTATAATTATAAATAATAATCCAAACACTCCCACGACATGTTAGAAATGGAACAAACTACTCCAATATTAATACTATGAGATTAAAACGATGTTTTTCTTTCCAGATGGTGCAAGCGATACAAGTTCTACGGTTTCATCTATTAGAATTAGAAAAAGTAAGTATAATATACTATCTTATTGGAATACATTTGGAATCGAAACTCGAACCGGTTTTGAAAAAATAACACCTTTCGATTATCTTTAGGCACGATTTTAAATCGAGATATCGTATCGATCTCCGGGCACGCAACGACTGCACGCACTGTCCGTTCGATGTTTAAATTAATCAAATTCACGTTTCGAATAGTTTAAAAATATGTTTGTAATTAAGAATTCACGCAACAGTTATGATGTGGAATACATTAGGAACATACTACGCGTGTATTGTGTCTCCGAGTAGCTACATACATAGCATTTTGTTTGATTGTTCAACATTTGAAGTCACATTGAAACTACATAGGGATCCTTGACATTTGATAAACGTCTTCAAGAACAGTCTAAGGGCATAGTTCATACTGCCTTCTCGTTAGAATGAATTGTTCTCGGTCTAAAAATAGGACAGTCAATGCTACGGGCAGATCCACCTCCAGTATTAAATGGAAAGTTTATTTGAGACATAAGGCCATGTCCAAGCCTAATTTGGAGTTAGCAAAACTAAACGTCGGCTAGTGCGCGAGGTGTCGTCGGCGCGCGAGTGAATGGGATCGGCGTTCGCATTTCGAATGTTGTTTGTTTTTCCCTTATCTCCCATTTGGGCGCGTTCCGTTCGGACCGGTTCGGCTTCTTGCGTGTGTCGCATCGCCAATTCTCGCCATTATACTCTCCAACGTAACGGTAACGCGACGGGACGCGAGCTTTTTGCTATTCGCAATCAGATCGAACAATTTGCGCTCGGTCGCATTAATTAGGAGCATAAAATTCAAATCTCCGGTATGTTTTTACGACGCGCGGTGTCGCCCGGCGAGGAATTAATTTAGCTTGTCAATATTATGGTCACGTTTCAACGAAACTAGTTTGACTAACGTCTATATCAAGACGAACGATCTCGAGAAACGAGATACCTCAAGCGGCCGCTCTCACAGCGGATTCCATAAAATATCGGGCGCCGCACCGCGTCTAAGTCGCGCTGTGTTTGGGGATACGTCCGACCGAACCGTACGCACTAATACGGGCCGCTGTAACGAGATAACGTGTAATGCGATACCGCTGTACGGAACTGGCTGGCCGGAGGCCGGAGGGCGAGATAAAGGCCGTTTTGGAAAAAAATAAAATAAAAAATAATGCCTTGTTCGAAATTCAAAATAGCGAGGGACGCGCGGAGATTGAAGAAAATCGTTCAATTCATCGAGACGGATGATCGATTTTTAAATTCGTGTCCGCGAGTTTGCTCTTTTTCGTGAGAAAGAAGTGAAGTGGTTTTTCAAAGTATCGAGCTCTTTAAACCAGTCAGAATATTTTCGTGTTTGTTTATCTCTTTGACAAGGAGGTGCAGAGTTCGCGACATCTGAGGACCAGTTATCACTGGCGACCCGATATCTAGCTTGCATAGAAAGTATGCTTCGACACCGAGCAATGAAAGCCGAGCTCAGCTTAGCGGAAGTCAGTTAGATGCAGACAGACACGTTTACCTGTCTCTGTGATCTGAAAAGCTATTTTTTTCCTCTGTCCATATCCCATACATGTCGGCTCCCATCTCGTCCATGGTTTTTGTCGAATAAAATTTAAAAAAAGATGCCGTTAGTTCGATCCGTTTCCGCTTCACTACACACCGTTCACAGGTGATGTGGTTTTTTTGAGCTTTTATAATAATTAAAAATAAAAAAGCCTCCACGGCCCAACTCGCGTACAATGAGATCTCGTTAAGTGCACTGTTTTTTACAACCTTTTTACTATAATTGCTCAGTTTTTTACCTCTTTTTCGGTAAAAAGATCAAGTTTATAAAGATCTTTTGAATGCAGTCGAGTATTTTTTGACAGAACATCTATGGTCGGTAATGAGGTGTAATGTTATTGCGTTAGACAAAAAACGACACTTTAAAAATTCCTGAACCTGGCCATCTCTTTAACGAACTCCCCGAAATTATATTTACATTGAAAATATCGTATAACGTTTTTGATTTATGTTTTAATATTTTAAATATGGCCGCCGGCGACATTGCTCGATGTTGAGTCCTTTTCGGTCGATCGGCTCTGCGATTGGTCGTCGTTACGAGCGTTTTTTTAGTCGCGCCGTCTGACTGTGCCCTAATTACGTTATGTGATGTAGCTCGGTAATGTCAGCCTTTTATTAGACTCGTTCTTTTTTCGAATTTTCGAATATCGAAATTGGTCGATTACGGCATTTCTTGGCTGTTCATTCGTCCAAATCCAACCAGTAATTTTAAAATGAGAACCTTTTGTTTTTGTTTTTTTATTTGTTTAAGATTCGTTATGACCATAGACTAATCAGTTGTTATACATCCTCTTCATAGCTTTAACATCAATGAGCAACAATTTTATTGAAAATAGATTTCTAAACTAGTTTTAAATGGACGATATGACAAAAACTGACTGCAATACTTAAGTGTTATTAATTGATATACTAAAAGTAATATAGAAAATCACTTGAACCTCACCTGACCACCTACCGACCAAATTTTAAAGCATTTTTTCATATTTCGTTTGCGTATCGTAAAACCTTATCTGTAACGCGCTTAACTGATTTACGAGGGGTCAGATTTGTTGGTTTACAGGACTCGAACCCTGCACGTTTTACTGCCGACCCGTTTTTACAACCGTTATACTGGTGGATTACTATATGACACCGGGGCGACTTGTATTTCTTTTACTGTTAGTTTTTCACACGTTAAATTGGTATTTTAATTAGTAGTTTGATTAAGTGTGTTTTGTTTATGGGATATACAGTTTTGTAACTTTGAATATGTGATTGAGTTATATGCAAACGTACATGATGTAGATTCTTCTTAATTTCTGGAAAAAGTAGGACTTTCAACAATCGCATACTACAAAGCTTTCACTAAAGTAACATTTGAACAAATTGCTTGTAATAACATCAGAATTATCTAGTAAATACAAGTAATAATCGTTCGTACACAATAAAATAAAGGAAGGAGCCGTCAAAACTCTTCATTTGACATAATAACGTTCGAATTACAAGAGAAAAAATATATAAACAGCAAATAAAAATAAAAGCCGCCATTATTAAAAATAAATTCGATAATGTGACATTTGGAGAGCGATGGCGGCCGCGCATTCAGCCTGTCAAACGCACAGATTAAATAAAAATAAAAGCATAGATTATAAAAATGTTTGGTTTTTTATTAGTGATTGCGCCCACGTGTTTTAGAAGCACCTAGCTGTTAGTGGAATGGATAGTTATTGAAGAATTTGACCGACTTGGCAAATAATAATGTAGTACGGAAGATATTTAGGGTGAAGTTGTTTTTTAATGATGTTATTCGAATTGATGTAATCATTTCTTTATTTAAACTGTAGGAAGACGTGGAAGCAATTATAGTTATTTGCCCTCCGGAACAAAGTACAGAGATACTTGTTTATGCTCGAATCACCCATAAAACCTCACCCTCTGTACCAGTTGTTTTGCCCACTCGTACGACCGTGGCCCACTTCTGGTTCCAGCCCACACTTCTGGCAGTCGCCGGGACATTTCAACATTTTACATGTCACCTGCCTAACTACCTGACACGATTCAAATACTAAATCATGTTACCTAAGACCAAAAAGGCTTATTCTCCAAAGAAAACAAAATAAGAAAATTAAAATTGACAATATTCAGTCTTTAAATAATCCCGCGTAATTCCTATTTCAAAAGGAAATAAAGTTCGGTTTAAAAAAAACATCTGAGTTCTACATTCAAAATCCCTTATTATTCCAAATGTCACGAGCCGTTATGTATCACCTTTCGTTTCAGTCCAATTTTAAAAAGTATCGGTGAGACGCCGTTTCTTAATCCTGAGTTCCAAATTTAAAATTTTCTGGAAAGAGTTTTGGGTGCGACAGGATAAGCTGACGTTATGTCATTTTTAATTTAAATTATTTCTGAAGAGAGACTTAACAGCTCCAGTGCTGATCGTGTAATGAATTTTAAGCCAATACAAAAAGAAAAAATATCAATAAATTTATTATTGATGCGCAATTTTACGGACTACTTAGCTTTTTATACAGTTACAGATATAGATATAGACAGTCATAAAATAAAGTTGTAAATTATGATGCCCGTTATGAACTTGCACTAATTTATATACAAAATCTTATTAGAAAGAAAGAAAATATAGTTACTGTTTTGTCTACTGCCAGATGTGGCTCCTATGTTTTTCACGTCTCGTCAGTTGTCGAGTAATTTAGAAAAACCTGTCGATTAGGAAATTACTATCCCGAAACATAATTAACTGTCAACGGGGAGCATCGTTTCCGTTTCCGTCGTACTGTTCTATTTTCAAATTCTCTGACGTTTCTTCCCTAGTTTCGATGATAAAAATTAATATTATGAGTTATGGCTAAGGTTGTGCAATAAATTACATTTGAAACAGTTAAAAACTTTTTAGTATTTTTGCAACACTGTTGGTGGTTTCTATGACAGTAAATGTCAAAATTAAAAAAAGATGAAAGATTGTCTTCCTATGTTTTTACATTGTTTTTAGTTTTGATGTGTATTATATTTATATAAAAGTTGTATTAACGATGTCTAAATCAAGGGGGTGGACAGCTCTTAATTCTATCATCGCTAGAATTATGATCCCCCGCATACTAATGCATCATATTAGTGTTGACATGTTAATTACTCCAAAATTATTTGATGATGAATATTAGATATTATTACAACATGTTTTAGTGACGTCCCTTACGTACACAGTATGGTGGTCACGCATGCGCTGTAAAGGGATAAAAAAGATAAGTCTATGATACAATTCACAGATAATTAAAACTTGACAGACGTCAAAAAAAGAAGGGTGGAATTAGGCACTATGGCCTGTTGTGCGACATCAAGTAAATACATTAACTAAATAAAAAATATATAGTATTGCATGTGTTTTAATATGGTAAAATGTATCTGAATTATTCCAAATCTTTAACCGAAATATAGGACGTAAAGCTTAGTACACAATAGCGGTCGTACGACAAAATTGTAAAGTAAAATTACAATTTCAAATGCCCCTTACACCTGCCGATATTTTATTGCCGACCATGTTAACGCTATCTAAAAGTTTCGTTACCCATTTTATAGCTCTATGTTAATTTCTAAGTTAATTATAGCTATGAAAATTTATAAGGCCAACGCACAAAATTAATAATCAGCCCTCCAGGGTGCCTTCGGAGGTAGGAATGGTAAAAAATCGTGTTTCTTTTCCGTTTTACGATTCATTTTAGAGTTTTTACACGCGTGTGACAGTTGGTCGGTTCCAAATGTATTCCATTTTTGTTGTTTTTTTTTTACTTTTTAGTTTTGTATCCTGATGTTAGTTTAAAGGTTAAGTTTAGGCGAGCGGAACGACGATGGTTTAGTGTCGTAGTAACTAATAAATTAGCCTGTATAAACGGTTGTAATAATGTTTTAACTAGTACTAGACTGAGTTTTATTAGCTACAGAAATATTGACTCAGGTCGTTAGGAAAATTTATGTCCAATATAGAGAATGATTGATATTACGACGATTGCCAGCGACACTAGGCTCCATGCAACTTAGCAGCAAGCAGCTTGTAACGGTTCTCCTCTTCGCAGGTACACGAGCTGTGTGACAACTTCTGCCACCGCTACATCAGCTGCCTGAAGGGCAAGATGCCAATAGACCTGGTGATCGACGAGCGGGAGTCAACGCGCCCGCCCGACACCAACGGAGAGCCGCGCTCCGCCCCCGACAGCAGCCACGACGGAGCCTCCACCCCCGATGTCGTGAGTACCCCCTACACCAAGTCCCATCTGATTCAGAGGCGTGATCCCCAGCTTGCACCCAACTCTACCACGAGCTATCTCGTGCACCCCTGCTCTTAGTTTGGCCATTGCAAAAACGAAGTATAAAAAGGGGGTGCTCGCAAAATAGTTTTAAATTCCCGCCTCCCTCGTTGTAATGCTGCGTCCGCCGATACTGTGACCTGAGCACCAGTTCTTTCCGCTTCTCGATGGTCTCAGGCCAGGTCACAGTGTCTGCGGGCGCCGCACGCTCACGGCCGCTCCGACACCCTCAGGCTCGCGCCTGTCGGTCAAGGATCGCCCGCTAGTTTAAGTTCCTTTAGAACAAATCTTCGTTTTTGCAATTGGCCAACCTCTTAACACTGTACGATTCAATTAAAGTAAATAAAGCAAACATAAAAATGAACGAAAATTTCCAAATTATTTTTCATATCACAACGTTACAGTGAAGGGGTGTAATCGGGTGCGATACAACACTATGACTAATGATGATATTTTATTGATGTCGCGGACTGCCGCACACCACGTTTCGATTTGTTTCTACTTTAGTGTTACGCTGACTGGACATACGCGCCTGTGTCCGTCTTACTATTATTTTGCACTGGAATTTATGTATACGATTGAAAAAAACATACGTATAACGTTGATTGTAATATGTGTATACTAATAACTACTTTTAAGTAAATAATACATTCAAGGTATGAGTTGGAGAGCCGTTGTTCTTGTCTTGAGGCAGTAAATACAATGCCATACAAATATTAGCATCGCGTTTCGGAGCTTAGATTTAAAACGTAATTAGATGTATTAAAAAACCTATTGGAAAACGAAGTATACGTAAAAATACAACTTTAACTTGCCTAAGTGAGATAATAAGGATTAATTAAGAGTTTTAAATTATTGTAATTGATTTAACGGTGGTAGTTGCTAGAGTGTTATTGTTTTTGGCTAGTAAATACAAACATGATACGTAAATAGTTGATATTTTACGTTTACTATGGGATAGCACGATTAACTACATCTTAGTTAGTGAAAAAAGGTAAAAAAATACGTACACAGTATACGCTAGTTGTAAAGAATGTCCATGTGATTTGCTCGACTCGTGTACATCTCATTGTAATTCGGCGTCTGCTTATTACAAATGTACAGATTAGAGCAATTATCATGTACGGATAATATATGTATGTGCGTTAATGAATAGAGAACTAGATGCTTATACAGAATAAATTAAATTTAATCGTGGCGTTCATTGTGTTGCCGATATTAAAACGTTAATGTGTACATTTATCCCCATTCTCCTCTCGATTTTAATATTAAAGTATAAATAAATGATAAGTTTCGCTGTATTTTTATACAATGCGTGAAAATTTTACAGTTCTTTTTGTTCAATGAAATGTTTCCGAAGTTTTGCTTTGGTTCGAGTCGACCGCGGCAGTTTGACGCTGCCGCTTATTTGTTTAATATTTTAAGAAATATTTTGGGCGTTGAGACTGAATTGTTTTGTTTGTGTTATATGATTATTATTTTCCACAATTGTTAACATTGGAAGCCATACTTAACTAATGTAAGAGCGCGGCTTCGCGCGCACATGTTAACTTGGGGACGATTAATTCTATCTAAAACAATTATTAGTTATTTTTGTCTGTATATGAGTTCTTTTTAACATTTAAAATTTTTCTGTAGTTGTTTGTCTAAGTTAGGTTTTTAGAATATGATACGGTAGTACTCCGGGTTTCGGGTGCTATATTTTTTTCTTAAAATCTAACTCTTAATGTATTAAATGCTAATTGGTGTACGTTACATCTTGTATGTCAATGTGATTATAATTTTATAGTTTTATTTTCTGAACGGATTAAACAATAAAATGTTCTGTTTGAAATTAATGCGAGTTTATTTTCATGACGGTTACCATTCCACGGGGTTTTATGGGGTAGGTTTGTCTTTAGATAACCTCACGCCTTTTATCCCCGAAGGGGTAGGCAGAGGTGCACATCACAGCACTTAATGCCACTGTGCAATATAGTACCCACTTTTCACTATTTATGTTATGCGTCTCATGTAATAAGGGATGAGTCTTTAGATAAAGGATATTATAACATACTTTTCTGATTGTTTCAAAATTAATAAGCAGGTTTATAATAAAAACAAGAACAATGCACAAATTAACAGAAACATTAGCAAACATTCATACAAAGACAGCTAATCCCAAACCACCACTAGACAATAACACAAAAAAGAGAAAGACAAAAAAGGGGAAAAATCCAGTAAAAATCATCACGACGACCCACAAAATTCTCATAGAATATAAAGGAAAATATTCTGTGTGAAAATTCGCAACAATATCGCATTTTTATCATGTACTCTGGGTACTTCTTAAGCGAGTGGGATCCCCTGGAGCGGGAGGAAAGCCGGAAAATTGTTTCTTTACAACACTCCCGTCTCTAATCTTGAAGGGGAAACGGCCATTAAAAAAATACCCAAAGTATTGACAATCTGATGTTTTATTACGAACCTCCTTTGATGTTTGAGGGTGTTAAACCAAGAACAGCAGGACAATTTGCTTTATTTTACGAGGTTTTAAAATAACAGATTTAGAAGTTGTTAAGGTGGAATTGAGTGGGGTATTTGCAAATGTAGAAAAAAGGGATGTTGAATTAACTAGACATATTCAGTATATTGTTGATAGTATTCAAATTGACGATATAGCTTTAGTTTATGGATTCCAATTAGATACACATTTTAAAGTAACTACTAGAGATGGAGAAGAAAATTGAAATAGAAAATTGTTCGTAGCGTGATATCAATTTGGCTATAGTCGTCTAAACAAATAACAGTCTGGATGATAAAAAAGCAAAAATCAATAAAGAGAGACAAGATGACATCACAAGTACTAAACATCATCACGAAGCTTTCCTTCCAGATGAACTGACACCAATTATAGCCAAAGAAAAATGGCCAGACGAACCAATCAGTGTAACTATCTACAAAATTAGTCCAACTTGCTATTCATGACGGTTACCCAGATATAACAATAATTCGACACAGCAATATGGGTATCTCCCATGAATTATGTATGGGGTATAAGCAGAAATAATAAAATAGTAAGATAGGGGGACATAGCAGGGATTTTGGATGGAGACGATTCGTCACGGGTCCGTCACGGATTCGTAGAGCTGGTGTTTTTTGGTAAGGAATTTGTATGCGATGGAGGACTTGCTAATCAATAGGAAAGAAAATTTAATCTTAGTAAATCTTTTGGATAAAGATTATCTTTTTCTGTATATTTTGTTCCATATGATCATGTTACGTACACTTGGTAGAGGATTAGTTAGAAAGAAAGAACAAAATATTTATTTCGCCACGACACACACGTAGACAAGAATACAGGTATACATAAAAAACCCATGGTGCGTGGCAGCGCAAAAGGCCGGAGCTCAGCTTAATACCGTGGCCCGGGCTCGAAGGCTCGACTCCACGGCGCTGGTTTTCAGTACCGGCGCGCTGATTCAAACGTTTAACTTTCTTGTTGAATAGAATACATATGTGCAATTTCCAAATCTCCATCATTTAGATAAAAAATAGCATGTAATAAAAAAGCAATATCATTGTGTTTCAAGTAAATCTCAAAGTTCACACACAGCATGTTAATCACTGTTTACTTCGAACATAAACCTGAGGACATTCCCAACAAACACCAATAAAATCGTTTCTATTAATAATTAATACCACGCCGGCCGCTTGTGATGCACATAGGCTGCGCAAGCGCATACTCATTAGTCTGACTGCTTTACAACATTATATATCAGCATCACTTTGCATGACATGGACGCTGTGTAAATACAGTCAAGCTTTTTAATTAATGGAGACAGTCGCTTGTAGGGATTCATTCAGATTTATTTTGTGTTTACTGGGAAGTGGGAACTGAGGGCTTAAATTAACTATGCTGAGATCAACGTTAAATCTTTCAAGTTATTAGCTAACACCAAGCCAAATATAAAGTCACAGAAATATCAATGATTGATGCCCAACAGGTCTTCAAGCTAGATGCAGTTTTGGCAACACCAACTAACATTATTACAAATGAGGATCCTGACATTGAGTCAAGTATTATTTTAGCTCACAAATGGTCCTGAAATCGTGCCCAATCACCCGCGGACCCGGTTAACTAATTAACTGTAAAATGCATCCCGACCAAACTCACCTATAACTCGAATTTAAAGACTGAGCTGTCAATTTTGGCGCCAAAACAGCAAAAAGACGCCGCCTGCCGGTCGTAAACCGTCGCTTTCAAATCTGGAACGTGCTTTTATTGGCCAAGAGCTGACCAATCGCGTCGCGCGAGCAAATTTTACGGCCACCCATTGGTCGTCCGGCATTTTCTTATTTACGACTGTCCTAAGGATCGCTCGCAAAATTTCTATTAATAAATTAGTCGTAAACTGTTTGAAATTTATTATCATTGCGTTTCAACGTAATTATTTCCTTTATAAGAATAACATTATTCCTTGTTTGCAAGGAGAGACGTGACTTTTATAATTCTTCTTAAACTTCTCAAAGTTTATCTTAATTTTTGGATATCTCCTTTGTACTGAAAGGTAATGAATCTCAAATGCCATCAGAACATTTGGTGTCCTCACCATTTTTAGAACACGAAAATTGTCATCACATGCCTTTAAATGTCATCCCAGACTAATGTGTTGAAACAAATGTCACAAATCACCAGCACTTAATATGGAAGAAAAAAATAGTAATGTTATTACTGTCTTGTGATAGAAATCAAGCCCATAGTCATACACTAGACATAATCCTAGTTTTTGTGTACAGGTTACTGAATCTAATGTACCCGTACATTCCTGTGCCACTGTGTGGTCAATAGTTCATGTAACGTAAAGTATGCTTTGATCAGTTTAGTCTTTATTGGTACTACCCATTGCAACCTGCTATCGACTAATCCCAGTTCAACCTGCAGGCATCTATCATAGTTAGACACCTCAATATTTTTTCCTCATGATGTTTTTCAACAAAATATTCCACCAATTCGTTCCGAATGCTCAATTATTTCAATATAATCAAAATATAGGTTA